CCTGCTCACTTAGGTAGACCGTTTCACCCGATGGTCACAAGCCATCTCCATTAGACAACGGACTTCGGAATCAGCTGCCAAAGCATTCCTAACTGGTTGGATAAGTCAGTTTAGTTCCCCATATATTGTAACCACTGATCGCGGTTGTCACTTCGACAGTGCTTTCACTAGTGTATTGAACACATTCGGTTGTCATCACATTAAAACTGCGGTGTATCATCCAAAAGCCAACGGCTTCGTGGAACGTTTTCACCGACAATCAAAAGCAGCACTGTGAGTTCATTGTAAGCCGTCTTGGAGTGAATCATTGTCAATGGTTCTGCGTTTGCCCTGGTTTTATCAGTTTCAGGATGTCCTCTGAAGGTTAGATTGTGGCTGAGGGCAAACAGTGATCTGTCTGCCATTGACAGTCCTTTGTTTAAAGGTCTCAGTGAAGTCACTCCACAGGCGACGGCGCTGCAATTAGGATAAGTCAAGTTCATGAGCACTAGCATGCTTCACGGGCTTCGTGAAATATAACGTTATTATTATATTATATATATTACATATACATATTATATATTATATCATTATTAAGAGCCACCAGCCGTTCCTTTTTTGTTCTCCCTTGCAGCCCTGCAGCCTTCTTTGCGCTACTTCGAGCAGTTGTTTATCCCTTACTAGAGGAGGAGCCCACGCTTGCACACAATACTCCAGGTGTGGTCGCGCAAAAGCGTTGTACAGTGGCAAGAGTGTATCAGCCTCCCTGGATGTTTCTGTTCGGCAGAGTAAGAACAGGTTTTTAGAAATAGGTTTTTACCGACGCGGGGTCTTTGAATTCGGCCGCGCCATTTATCGCGAAAATCATATTTACACTTTTGTGGATTTATTTGTCATCGAATCGCATTGTTATCAATTTCAAGGACACCAAATGCTATCGTACACGAGCGCGTTCATGAAATCGTTATGTGTTATCGCGCGAACTGCGCCTTTTGTGACATGTTTGAACAATGTGAGAAATAAATTCAAGCGGATGCTCAAAACACAAAGCGACAGAAGGAGAAAGCATCGAGCTGTTTGGCAAGTCGCTCTCAGACAGTGCAGCACCAGTCAATTGCAAATTCCTCTCATTTCAACAGGCAATGTTCATCCTCTGTCAGGAAAAGTCAAGGAGGTAGTAGATATCACACAGAAAAAGGAGTACAAAAACCTGGGAATTATTATGCTTCAAGAATCGTGGCTACATGAAGAAATCCCCAGTGAAATTTTTCAGGTGGATGGATAAAACTTGTGTCGGGTTGACCGTACCGCGGTGTCCGTAAACGAGGTGGAGGTGTTGCAATTTACATCAGCTAA